ATGAAGCTCCTGGCTCCTGGCTTCCACCAGCCCAGCCCTGGACTTTGTGACAATCTGGGGAGTGAACCAGCAGATATACCTCTGACTTGCAAATAAATAAATAAATCTTTAAAAAAGAAAATGAAAATATTACTTGGAAGCCAACAGACCTCTTCAAAACTCTTTATCTAATGGACATAGACTCAAAATTACCCAGAATTAGTGAAAACCAACAATCCTCTGATTCAGGGAGCCCAAGAGATTCTGAGAAGAACAAAGAAAAAGAAATCTACAGGGCCGATGCTATGGTGTAGTGAGTGAGGCCACTGTCTGCAGTGCTGACATCCCCAACGGGCACCAGACCTGGCTGCTCCACTTCCGATCCAGCTCTGCTGTGGCCTGGGAATGCGGTAGAAGATGGCCCAAGTGCTTGGGCCCCTGCACCTGCGTGGGAGACCAGAGGAAGCTCCTGGCTCCTGGCTTCAGATGGGCACAGCTCTGGCTGTTGCAGCTATTTGGGAAGTGAACCCAGCGAATAGAAGACCTCTCCTTCTCTCTCTCTCTCTCATCCTCTCCTTCTCTCTGTGTATAACTCTTTCAAATAAATAAATATATTTTTAAAAATCCTTTCAGATGACCAAGTCGATGTATGGTTTTCATTCTGTACTGTCATCCCAGGAAGCTCAGAACCAAATTTCAAATTCAGTTACAGCCATGTTTAGTTCCAAGATAATCGTCATCCATTTCTTCTCTTGCCCTAATGTTCTACCTTGAGTCTTCCAGCCTATTATAAACCTCCTTTATGTCCTTACTGACAAGAGATGGGAAAAAAATAAAACTAACACCTGGTATGCTCAGTTGGCTTAGAATTATTTCCACTTTACAAAAATAAATGCAAAAACACATGACCTGTGATGATCTCTAAAGAATGGAGAAATTGAAGAGGACTGAGACAAAAGCAACAGAACAGGGACAAAAGAGGAACCGGGAGACCGCACTGCGGCACAGCGGGTTAAGGCGCTGCCTGCAGCGAGGCCATTCCGTATGACTGGTCTACTACAGATCCAGCTCCCGGCTAATTAGGCGCCTGAGGAAGCAGCAGAGGATGGCCCGAATCCTTGGGCTTCTGCACCCATGTGGGAGACCCTTATGAAGCTCCTGGCTTCAGCCCTCCATCCTCGCCCCCCCCCACCAGCCCAGCCGAGGCAGCCATCTGGGGAGTGAACCAGCAGATGGAAGGTAGCTCTCTCCCTCTCTGTAACTGTGCCTTTAAAATAAATAAGTTTCAAAAAGAAAAACAAACACAAAGAATGAGACTGAGGCAGTATGCCCATATTCTCCAACTCAAGTACAGATGCACAATGCTCTGGCCTAAGAGTCGTTATAGGAGTACCTGCAATGGGGAGTATTCTGGAAAGCCCCGGAGATGCGCTGAACACAGCTCCCAGGGGTGTTAGTGAACAGTTACAGAAAGGCTTTCACTTTCTTTGGGTCACGGATCCCTTTGATGATGTGCTAAAAGCTTGGGAACAGCTCCCCGGGGAAGTACCAGCAGAAGCCTCCTGCTCTGTATGCATTCCTCCTGCACAGCAAGGGCAGTGCTGCAGAGAACTCGACCCGACGAGAGCCAGAGCTGCCAAGCTGCCAAGCCGGACGGGGAGCCGGGCAGCCAGCTACCAGCTGGAGTTCCCGCTGTTCTCTGACCCCTTCTGAGTGATAGGTCGCCTCGAAGAGCAAACTAGGGTATGGGTCCCCTAGCCCCAAATACATGCGTAATCACCCCACCCCAATTTTCCACCTAATTTCAGGGGTTCGGGGATCCCCCTAAAGCCCATCCTCAGACGCGCGGTTACGCCTAAGCGCAGACTTCCCTAGACCGCAGAATGCCCTTGATGACCTTTTTAAATCACCCTTTATCAGAGACAAGAGCGGCCCACAAGGAAGTTATCGGACCGCGACGCTCCCAAGCCCGCGGCCTCCCTCCAGGCCCCCTCCTCCCAGCCCTCCCTTCCCCCACGCCCGTGCCGCGCAGGTGCGAAAACCTAAGGGCCCACCCAGGCGCGACGAGCGGGGCGCGGGGGATGGGACCCTGGGAGGGGCGGAGGCGGGGGTGGGGGCCTTCCCGCTGTTGCTTGGTGACCACGCTCTCCGCCCAGGCCGTTCCATTTCCTCAGCAGGGGACGCGGCGGGCCGGGCCGCGGCTGACGGACCTCCCGGGGCGGCCCTCTTCCGGCTTCTCCCCCTCTGCCGGACAGTGGCCAACGCCCGTGACGTCACAGGAGGAGGGGTCAGCGCCGCTGCCGGGTGCTGGAGGCGCCATTGGAGCCGGCTGGGCTTGCGAGCCCCGCTGAGGAGCCGGAGGTTGGGCAGTAGTTACCTCCGCGTCGGCGCCAGGCCGTTCTGGCCCCCTCAGCGGCATGGCGTGCGGAGCGACGCTGAAGCGGCCCATGGAGTTCGAGGCGGCGCTGCTGAGCCCCGGTTCCCCGAAGCGGCGGCGCTGCGCCCCTCTGCCCGGCCCCACTCCGGGCCTCAGGCCCCCGGACGCGGAGCCGCCGCCGTTTCACACGCAGACCCCACCGCCGACTCTGCAGCAGCCCGCCCCGCCCGGCAGCGAGCGGCGCCTTCCAACACCGGGTAACCTGTGCTGCTGCGGGCTTGGCAAGAAGCCAAGCGCCGGCATTTTTTGGGGGGGGTGGGGTGGGAGGGCGTAGGATTCTGAACGCCGGACCAGCTCACCCACGGACCCCCTTCATAAACGGCTCGAGAAAAGGGAACCGGGGTGCAGCTGGGCCTGGCTGCTTCCGGGGAGAGGAGGCATGGGGAGGGGTAATGGGGCCCCAGGGCCGGTTTTCCTGGTGCTGGAAAGCTTGGAGGGGTGGGTCACCAAGAGGAGGGTGGGAGTACTCGCGGCCGCCCTAGGACCCTCCCTGGCTCCGGAATCCCTCTTGCTTCGCTGAGCCGCCCTGCAGATCCACTGGGCCATGGAAAATTGGATTCTACTCACGAACCGGCCTCTGGAGTGGGGGTTGGGGGCGGGCTCCTGGGAAGGGGCGTGTGAGCTGGTCCGCCCTGCGTACCGCGGCTCGGAGGGAGACCTGATTTGCAGAGGTCTTTGGAGGCCGGAGGCTGCCGCAGGAGTCGTGGAATCCGATTCCAACGTGACCGTTTCTGAGGGCGGCTGGCCATGTTCTTTGATTGTATGGCTATTGTCTTGTACCATATATGGCCTGCAGCCGGTGGGTCGTTGGCTAGAATTTGAGAATTCTTCAACATACAGAGGTTCTGGAAGCAGGCATTCAGCCGTGCGCAGGAGAGGGGCTCTCCAGTACGACATTCCACTTTGGCGAAGGAAAGGGAGAGGCTGGCGTGACAGCAGAGGGAAGGTGCATCCGCATTAATACCCGGCGCTTTCACAGGGCTTGGGCCGAGACGTTTCTCTTCGTGTTCTACACGCGTTGGCAGCGCCTTAACACCGTTCTTTCCTCGCCGCTTTTGGGTTACCAGTACCTTCAGCTTTCGTTTCCTCTTTCCTCTGCACAGTGCAGATTTCAGGGCCTCTTCCTCACACCAAGATTCCTGCAGCCAGCTGAGTTCCCCCAGAATGTGTATGCGCACCTGCGTCCCCCCTTTTCCTGGACTTAGAAGGTCGCAGTCTTGGGTTCTTTAACCCGCGCCCTTGCCTTCCCCCAGAGCCTCCGTGCTGTGCCTGTGGTCGGATGTTTTCCCCTCTACTCGCTAATCCCGGCAGAGGCCATTCTCAGATCTCCCATCCATTACCTCGCTGACTAACACGCCCCGTGAGGGAACTCTTCCACTTTAAATTCCCTGCCCACTTAACGTTGTGCAGCGTTCTGCGCAGGGGAGTGTTGGCGAAGTTTCTTTGTCATGTGCCCTCTCAGGCAGGAGGGGGGTGTCCGTTTGCGTGATGCTTGTTTCCTTCCTCGGGACCCACAGATGCCCAGGAGACCTTTTTGGGTCTCTCCTATTCTGCAAAATGGAATCAGTATTTGCCCTGTCTTGAAGATCTAGCAAGATAGTTGTGAAAACTGTTTTGAAAAACATAAATAATGTGTTGTGTGCAAATGTTTAATTTCTTTGTACCACCCTCTAGGTTGGTTCTATTGGTAGTTCACATTCCAGCACAGCCTTCGTAAGTGAGCGGTGAATGTATTTGGAAGCCTGACTGGCTGAGTGTTATAATGGAGCCGCTGTTTTCTGAATCTTTAAGTACACTTTTTGCAAAGACCATGCAAACTAATTTATTGGTTCTTTGTGTTAAGTAGATTGACCAGTTTATTAACAGTAATTAAAATATTCCATTATGAAAGAAATACACTATTAATGATTCATTCTCTGATGCTTGGGCTAAAATGAAAGATGCTTTCGGGGTTAAAAAGAATGAATGGCAGATGGAATTTTAGTTGCTATTCAAACAGAAGGAATAAAGTCAACTAATGGAAAAGTGAGTTTAAAAGTCAGTGACTTCATTTTTATGACATCTCACTTGTTATCTCAAGGGTCACAAACTTCTGTCTAAAATGGCCAAGAAACTTTTTATTCCACTTAAAAAAAAAAATAAAAAGATGTGTGTACTGTAACACTTTGTGTGGAAAAAGCCTATAAAATTAAGCCTTTTATTGCTTAAATTTTTATTGAGTGCTAGGCGGATACCAGACATGGAAGGGGTTGCTGACCTCAGGGTTTGTAAACATCGAGTGAGTTTAGATGCAGAACAATCAGGACCTGAGAGAGCTGGGGAATAGCTTCTGGATTGAGGTAGCATTTTAGCTGAGTCTTGAATATTTGGGGGTAAAGCACAGCCCCATTTCAGTAAAGGGAAACTAGTAAAGCAAAGGCCAGAAGAGCCCCCAATTAAGGGAAGAATAGTTTAATGCAGTTACTTTGGGTGATGGAACCTGGAAAATAAATAGACCAGGTCTCAGAGGGCGAATGAATGCCTTGCTCAAGAGCTTGAATTTTGGGCTGCAGCAGCTGGAAACCAAAAGAGTTTTGAGACTGGGTTTAGCCTGATAAAAGCTGGAAGCACAGGGTTTATCAATCATGGGAGGCAAGGATTCAAATTATCCACTGTTAAAAAGAAATTAGCATTTTCCCTTTTTTTTAAAAAGTGCTGTTTCCTGTTTCATGTGGCCCTTTTCAGAAGAAAATGACATCTGCTTCCTTGTTTTGGTTAGATTTCTGAGCTTGCTAGTCCTTACTACCCTTAAAGTTTTATGTTTCCGTTTGTTCACTTTGCCATACAAGAGACAGTGAAGAGGTTATCAAAGAACAGCTGTTCTCCTGAGCACTGTCCTCACACTTGTTCTTTCTTGTTTCGTGTCTTTGCAGTTCCTCACATCCTGGTATTGATTCTGGCCAGTGTGTGCTTGAGGAATAGTACATTTTAAAAATGAAGATTTCTACATTCAGGGGTCTAAAGTGTGAACTTCATAGCGCTCTTAAAGGAAAACCTTGCTAATCTTATATTGATCTAGTGTGTAGATTGAGAGTTAGGTTGTTTGAACCGCGTGTGGAGGTACTTTTCGTTCATGACAGTTCCTGGAATATGCTGTCACTTGTTACGGCATTATTATTTTTGCTTGTGGTTCTTACTACCTTACCAGATAGGCATTTGGCATTTATATCAAAACTTAGACGTCCAAGGTTACAGTCACACAGCTAATAAGCAAGCTGGCATTATTAACACTTCCTATTTAAAAAAGTAATATACATTAGAATCACTTAAGGAAGGAGAGGGTACAGGTTTGTTTTGTTTTTGTTTTTTTAATTAGGAAGCGCTGTTATTTGGAAAGTGAATATAATTATAATTACACAACAAAAACAAAAAACTTGAAAACCACATCCTTGCAGATTCTTTGTTGCCCCTGGAAGCATTCTTCAAGGTGGTTAGTAATGTTTCCTGGACTCCCTGTAGTAGTGTTAGCCAATCTGATGTGTAAGCACCTTGAGTCAGAATAGTAATCAATAATCTGAGTCTTAACAAATACTACCTCTTGTAGGATCAGAGAATTCTTTTCTAAGCCCTGACCACCATTTCAAAGCATTAAATTGCAGCTGTTTGCCTGGGCACTGACCAGGCTGTGAATGTAATAGTTTCTGCTGTCCTAGGACTTCATTATTAGAAAGCCTTGGATGGTAAGAGACTCTACTTAATATCCTGGTTTGTGAAACTGTAAAACTTAAAAGATCAATGATAACTCCCCATTAGGTAAAATAAAGTTCATCATTTACCATAAATTGTACTAGTTAGTCTAGCAAATGGCTGATCTGGTCTCACTGCCACAGGAAGCAAGTGAACTAAGTGGTTTATGCCAAAATAGCTTTGGTTCTGTGCATTGTTGAAATGGGGCAATAAAAGCATGCTGTCTAGGGATATAGAAGTGCTTTGTACAGTATAAGCATTTTAACTCATTAATATTAATAACATGGGGAGAGGGAAAAGATTGAACTTGTATGCTAAACGGAGTATCTAAATCCCAGTGAAATACCTTCCTTGTCTCCTCTTCTAAGCAAAGAGTGAGGAGGAGGAGGAAGGTGCTGGATGCAGTGGTAACTGAGACACTGCTTGGGACATGCACATCCCATATCACAGTACCTGCGTTCCCATTCCAGCTCCACTTCTAATTCCAGCTTCCTGCTAATACACACCCTGGGAGGCAGCGAGTGGTGGCTGCAGTACTTGGCTCCCTGCTGCCCACATGGGAGACAGGGATTGAGTTCCTGGCTCCCAGCTGCATCCTGGATCAGCCTCAGTTGTTGCAGCTCAGGAATGAACATGGCAGATGGCAGCTCTGTCTGTCTCTATCTCTGCCTTTCAAATAAAATGAAAAGTAGTAAAATTTTTTAAAGTTTGAAGAAATGACACGATAAATACTCAAGTATGTTTCTTTTTTATTAGAGCAAATTTTTCAGAACATAAAACAAGAATATAGTCGTTACCAGAGGTGGAGACATTTAGAAGTTGTTCTTAATCAGAGTGAAGTTTGTACTTCAGAGAGTCAGCCTCACTCCTCAGCACTCACAGCACCTAGTTCTCCAGGTAAGTCTGTATCAGTGTTTGTACAAAACCCATTTAAGGGTTTGTAAACGGTATTTACTATGATGGTTTGTTTCCCAGTCTAGCATTGGTCTCTGAAGTAATAAATTCAGTTGAAGTAAATGCATTATATTATTACTTAAAAATAGTTTTAAAACTGTAAACTCGGGAAATTAGAAAAGAGATTCATTTGATTGGCCTTTCATCCATCCAATGCAAGAGTACCTTTTTCTGTAACTGCAGTAATACTGTAGCCACTAACCACATACAGCTATATAACCTTAATTTATATAAAATTTAAAATTCTGCTTCTCAGATGCAGTGGTTACGTTTCAAGTGCTCAGTACCCACATTTGGTGGCTGTTGTATTGGACTTAGCGCTGTAGGTCATTTCCATCATTGCATAAAGTTCTGTTGGACAGCTCTGGTCTATAGATCAGATCCCTTCTGCAAAAAGATTCATTGACAGGTGGTCAAAAAGGATGAGCTCAAAAATAGAATCCTTTAGGATCAGAGGGATCTTCATGGCGACATAGTAACTTGCCGGCCATCTGCCTACAAATAATAGAACCGTATTTAAACATCTCTCTTGGTGAACATTTTACTTCAATAGTAGAGAGGTTTGTTTACTTGCAAAATAATCTACTGTTTAACAGTTCTAAGGGGTAAAAGTTACCCTGATTAAAAATTACAGAACAGATGTATCTTTTTTGCTGTTAATTTTTACACGTAATTACGATACTCCTCCTTGGTTAAACGTGAGTCCAGATGACCTCCAATAATCTTGGAGGCTGTCACATCATGAATCTGCTTTCTATAATTCTTACTAAAGGTTTTATATCAGCTTTAACCTTTTTAAGTCTAGACTCAGGTTACTGTGACATCAGAACATTTTTTATATGCAAATCACTGAACACACCTGGATACATGTTGTTCTCTTCCCTCTCAATTTCTCTTTGGTTTTGCTATGTAAAACAAATAGTAGAAATTGAGATAACTTCGTGAAAATATCCATGTAGTGAAAAATACAATTTTTGGAGGCCACGTTGTGGTATAACTGGTTAAGCTGCCTCTTGCAATGCCAACATCCCATACAGGCCCCGGTATGAATCCCAGCTGCCCCACTTCTGATCCAGTTGTCTGCTGATATGCTTGGGAAAACAGCAGAGGATGGTGCTTGGGTCCCTGCACCCATGTGGGAGACCTGGATTAAGCTCCTGGCTTCAGCCTGGCCAAGCCCTGGCTGTTGCAGCCATTTGGGGAGTGAACCAGTGGATGGATGATCTTTCTGCCTGTCTGTGTGACTACTGCCCTTTAAATAAATAAAATAAATCTTTAAAAAATATAATTTTTCTAACTGTTTTTTAAAAAAATTTATTTATTTGAAAGAGTTACATAGAGAGACGAGAGGCAGAGAGAGAAAGAGAGAGGTCTTCCATCCAATGGTTCACTTCCCAATTGGCTGCAACGGCTGGAGCTGCATGGATCCGAAGCCAGGAGCTTCTTTCAGGTCTCCCACGTGGCTGCAGGGGCTCAAGGACTTGGGCCATCTTCTGCTTTCCCAGGCCATAGCAGAGAGCTGGATTGGATGTGGAGCAGCTGGGTCTCGAACTGGCGCCTATATGGGATGCCAGCACTTCAGGCCAGGGCATTAACCTGCTGCGCCACAGCACTGGCCCCCTTTTGTATGTCTTGAAGACTGTTTATATAAAGTTATTAATTCTGAATTAGAACTAGAATGTAACCTAGAGTTACCTTTTGGTCAGGTTCTTCCTGGATGAAGAAGGACCAGCCCACCTTTACCCTCCGACAAGTTGGAATAATATGTGAGCGTCTTTTAAAAGACTATGAAGACAAAATTCGGGAGGAATATGAGCAAATCCTCAATACCAAACTAGCAGGTAGGCTTAAGGCAATGGCTATGCTGATGTTATTGATAGAGTTCAGTAAGAACCCCCAGTTAAGTAACTTTGAAAAAGAGTAGGGCTGCCCTCAACTGGATTCATTAAGTTCTAAGTGTTGAAGTTACTCTTAGTGATTCTAAACACGTTACTTATACATTATATGGAAGGCATCAAGTAGGCCATTTGGGTTAGTCAATGAGTGAACAAGTGTTGGGATATGGTACTAACCTCCCAACAGGTGTTTGGGAGGAGTTTAGTATTGTCAATGTATTTGGACTCCTAGTGGGAATTACTTTGTGCCTATGGGAAGTTGGGCATCCTGTGATTTGAGAGGTGTGATAGTAAAGCAAGGAGAGCCCAGCTTGGCTAGAACAAGGTAGCGTTTAGTGATGTCAACAAGTATGTGTGTGTGTATGTGTGTGTGCGTGTGTGCACATGCATATCGGGGATCTGAATCAGGACAAAGTTACTGTTTATTGAAAGAGGACAATATTGGGATCAGCGAACTGTTAGGCAGCTTCTACTTCCTGTAACCTGGTGTCGCTACAAAGTGGTTCCTCAGAATGTTACCCAAGTCTGCTTTCCATTCGGCAGAGTTGGGTTCCTTATAGAATGCCTCGATCCTTCAGTATACCTGTAGATAGTATGAGCAGCAGCTCTCGCGTGTCATTTCTTCTCCCACTTCAGATAGTTCAGATCAGCTGGCTCTAAGCTACTTCTTTGTTTACAGATGGCTGTTTTCTACCTTTCTGCTCAGTTTCCTCTTAGAAGGGGGCATTTCTGTCGAATTGTCTATGATTAGAAGGTATAGAATTTTCTCATAGCTTTCTGGCCATCTTACCTCTTCTCATGCTTTTCACTGAGTGTGTGGTTGAAATGCATAACAAGGAAAGAGTTTCAAAGCTTCATGATACCCCATAAATATGTGTAGTTTTTACATGTCAGTTTAAAAAAAAAACTTCATATCCCATAGGAGATTACTGAAATTTGCTGGCCTGTTAGTAAGGAGTGATGTTAACAGTGGGGGAGATGTTATTAGGAAAATATTATGAACAGTGGCCAAATCTAGGAGCCAGATATTTGGTTCTGGGATCTAAGCCAGAGCAACAGATCTCAGAGTGAGTGTTACAATAGAAGAGTCTGAGAAGGTAGAGAATTGAAACTGGGAAGCTATGGACCTGCTTCCTTGATTCTTGAAAAATGGCCAAATATTTCTGGGGATAAGAATACACAGTTTTTCTCCTCACAGAACAATATGAATCTTTTGTGAAATTCACACATGATCAGATTATGCGACGATACGGGACAAGGCCAACAAGCTGTAAGTATTGCCAGGTTTTTTTTTGGAATTTTTTTTCCAAGTTCCAAGAGCAAGATTTTGACACTAAATACCTTGTCTCCTGAGTGGGAACAGCTGATGTGAAGTAAAGTAATAGCTAAAAATATTTAAGTGCTGAGTACTGTGCTTGACCCTTTAAATCATTCCCAGAGCTTGTGCAATCTTTACAGTAGCCCTATGAATGAGGAACTGTTAGTGGCTGCAAGCTGCAGGTTAGAATATTCCTTCCAGAGGTTAAATAATCTGCCGGAGCTCATAAAGTTAGTGGTTCAGCCACAGTTTAAATAGGTAGTCTGATTCTAGTACCGATTTATCTTTTTTCCAAAAAGTTTCAATTGTTAATTTATGAAAGTTTATCCCTTAAGTATATCAGGTGTGTGACCAAGACTTCTTGAATCTAGACATTCGCCACCACCGGTCCAGAGCATAAATTATGAATAGCCATGTATCTAACTGAACTTGAGTCAGGTTTCTTCAATTCTTGAGTTTTAAGTACCTTTTAAGTAGCAGCTCATTCTCCATGCTGTTAATCGCGAACATTGTTAATTAGCATTAAAGCATGGTGTTATATTTCTTGGGATTTTTACCCTCTTGGTTTTTATTTCTGCTTTACAGATGTGTCCTGAAGCTTTTTTGCGTATCTGGGTACCAGGTTTGACCTCAAAAGATGGCTGCTGTACACTTTTTGCAACTGGTTTGATATCACATTTCAGCTCCAACTTCGCATCCTGAGAACACTTAAATGTTTTCTGCAGGTCCATTTTATACAACTTGAAAGACCTAAAACTTTCTGGTTGCCACAAGCATATCTTTCTTTTCTGCTCATCCAATAAACAGCTGTGCCCTACTGTGATAGATTTTCCAAACAAAATACCTGGAGCAGCAGTTTAGCAAAATATGCCTTCAGTGGCACTCAACAAATGGAGTTTCCCCAAGCACAGTTCTGTAAGAAGTGTGTGCGAGAGTGTGTGTGTATGTGTGTGTGTATTTTAAGTTATTATTTGTATTGTGCAAACTTTTTTAACCTTGGGGATTCTGGCTGTGAATTTGATGCACGACAATTATGGTTAAAAACATTGGCTTGGTCTACAGAAGATCATTAATGTTTTGTGACCATATAAGTTGTAACAGTGGATTGTTCATGTGTAGGTATTATTGTTAAACACCGGGACTGTTTCCAGGCACAGAGTATGAATCATAATTTAGGATGGACATTAGATGTGATGATGATGGTAGAATGGAGAATCTGCAGTCCTAGATCTGCAAATGCGTGGTGAGAAATTAGAACAAACTGGAGATGGCGCTTGACACATGGATTCTGCCTAGCTCTGTTAGAAAAATACTTTGACTCCAAGCCTTAAAATACCCAGTGGAGTCTGCGCTCACCTCATTCACACAAAGAGCTCCCTGGACCCGCCCCTCTAAAGGGAAAAGACCTCCCTGGAGCGGGAGCATAACATGGGTGAGCACAGGGCAGGGCCAGCACCGGGCCCCAGCAGAACTGCTACTCGGGAGGAGCCACTTCACCTTTGTATCAGTTCTTAAAGGTAGAATTTGGCTCCTTGGATCAGGTTCCCCAGATTCTTAGGAGGTGTCCATGTTCAACTGCTTGAGCTGTGTTTGGCAACCCCCTGCCCGACGTTGCTCACAGGCTGTTCTTCACCTTGTTTCCAAGGCTGAGGAACAGAGAGTAGCCTCTGTTTTGAGGAGGTGGAAGTTAAGTATACATTTATTTTTTACTGTGACTTGTTCAGGACCACATTTTACAAAATGCCTTGTTTTCATTATTATTGTTTCTGGAAAAGAAAGTTCTATTAAAATTGTTTTAGTTTGACTATAGAATAGTTTTTTTTAATTAGGGCTTATTTTGAAATTTTTGAGTTTAATTCAGATGTATGCCAGTACCTTCCAAAGTAAGGTCATATTCAGAGACAGTTGTTCTGATCAGATGGCTTAGAGAAATTTCTGGAATATTCACATTCAAAGATTACTTATTAATGAATGTCTTTGACTTAAATCTAACCAAAAACTGCAACCTTATTCTTTGTACATTTTCATTATATAGTGTTAACAAGCTTAGTTGCAAACAAATAAAATACTTAAGCTATTTGTTTACCTTGCCTTCTTAATACTGTGATAATGTTGATATTCAGATAACTTGTATGGGGCTGTTACAACCATCTCCTTGGTTCAACATTATGTTGAAGATTTATAGACTTTTATTTTAAAAGTTCAGCAGTGATCTTTTATTAAGGAATGGTTTTACTTCCTGTTTGAAGGGCCATTTGCTTTTTTTTTTTTTTAGCAGTTTTTAAAACTTTTTATTTTTACATTTTTTTAAGTTTTTATTTTACATTATCTACAAAGTAAAAGTTTTTTCCCTTAACTTAAAAGTTGAACCACTGAGACAGTGATCACTTCATCAAACTTGATTTATAAATAATAATCCGTCAGTTTGACGGTAAGAACTGACTGAAACCTTTGTCAAGTTTAGTAAAAGGGTGTTCCAAATCTTGATTTTTTTGTTTGTTTGTTTTAAGCGGTAATAGCAGCAAGAATCACTCTTGTTACTTCTTTTGCTAGCTGATGTGTTCATGACTTTCAAGGGCCATTAAAAAATAACTTCCAGTTTTGGCAAGCAGAGCTGGGGTACTTGCGGGACTCTGCAAACAGCATGTGGAATTACGCACAGCCCCAAGTTCCTACAGTGCCTCTACTCGGTCCGAGTATCTTCCACTGCAAGTGAACTGCTAGCATTCCTATTGGATGTTACAGGAAATCAACGTATATCGTTTAAAAACAAAATAAGTGAACTTCTAGTTTTCTGTGCTTCCAGCTGGTAGAAGCAGGAGAAAGGAGGAGGGGATCCGGCCCTTCGTTTCTTCCAGGGCGGCCTTACAGCGGCTGGTGGTGGTGGGCTTGTACTGTAAACAGAACGCTGCAGCACAGCCCACAAGCCCAGAGTATGCAGCACGTGCCTGCCATCTAGCCTTGGCTAGCTAGGAGGAGACTCGAAGTTTAATTCTGCCCCCCTCGCAATCTTTAACCAGTGGGTAGATAGAAATAAGCCAGTCAGACATGAAACCACTTCAGATAAAACTCCCAGAAGACTTGTTGCTCATGGGGTAGGAAAAAAGGCCTTCACACACCCCCTCCCCAAATACTAGCCAAGCACCAGTTAGACTGTCTACACCCACCCATCAAGTACTGCAGCACAATCATGGGGCACTCTTGCTGTCAGGACAGAGGCTACAGCTAGCCCTGCACTCGAAACCAGTCCACACAGCACTTGCTCATCACTGGTCTGTTCCAAGCTACAATGATTCGGCCATGGTAATAACCCCCAACGTGTCGGGACTCAGGACGGAACCTCGG